CCCCCCCCCCCCCCCCTCCCCCCCCGGTGTTTGTCATCGGGGTTGGGTTTTCGTCGCTTGGCAACGACGTTGTAAAACAAGCCGCCCCCTCGGTGTTTGTCATCGGGATTGGGTTTTCGTCGCTTGGCAACGACGTTGTAAAACAAGCCAATTCACTTCGTGAACTCGGCAACCAGGTTATTACCGTTTTTTTTTTACCTCAGTTTTTTTTTGCGGTAAGACCCATGTTTATGGTCGCCAAATCTTTGCGAAAATGTTTATATTTTCAAACATTTTCGGATAAAGATTTTGTTTCACTGTTTATGGGAGAAAATCTTCGGCAAAATATTCTCAAACATTTTGAAATGGGGCAAAAGTCGCTCGTTTGACAAAATATTCTCAAACATTTTGAAATGGGGCAGGTCGCGAAAATGTTTCCCAAGAGCGGCGAGATTAGTAGACGACCGCCCCTTCCGTCCTAAACACCAACCACTGCGCAGCGCACACTCAACGTAGCAAGCTCATAGAGGGATCTGGACAACCCTAGAGTCACCGTGTCAACGTTTTGCCGGCTGATACATGGCGGGAGATCGTCAAGCGTGCACAAAAAAACAAACAGATAGGGGTGGTTTGGAGGGCACGGAGAAAGCGTGGTTTGTGTCTCCGAACGGCAAAAAGTCGGCTGCTTGAGAGGAGAGGTGAGTACAAAACTATCCAGCTCTCGTCCTCTATACCATCGATTCATGTTTTGTTTTCTTGAGTGTCTTCTCCATCAACGACTCTCATCCGGGTGTGCGCGGTTCAGCAGTGGACGTACTCAACAGGCAGGGAGGCGCGTCGCTGTGAACTCGATGTGCTGAAAAAGTCTTTTTTGGGACGGAGGAACAAGCCCTCTATATTCAAGTGAAAAAATAGACCGAAAAAAACGTTTGTGTCCACAAGTTTGCGCGCACAACGATGTGCCTCCCTGCCGGCAGAGCGCGGCCACTGCCAACCCACGCACAACCGGATGAGAGTCGTTGATGGAGAAGACACCCAAGAAGACAAAACATGAATCGATGATCTAGAGGACGAGAGCTGGATAGTTTTGTACTCACGTGTCCTCTCATGCGGCCGACTTTTTGCCGTTGGGAAGCGCTGACGCACGTTTTGGTCCCTTTTTGACACCGAGAACATTTTTTCTCGCACACCCGGAGCGCTATCGCCACATATTGGCGGGCACAGCATCAGCTCAGTGCATAAAGGGTTGTGGGGAGCCCTTTGCGAGCTCGTTACATTCAGTTTCCATGACGCATTTGTGGTTTGTCTGTCACAAATCGTTTGGTAGCAGTAGACCACGATTCCCGCCGCACGTGCGATGCATTTCGAGAAAACCAACGATAAAGATTTTTTCGCCCATAAAAACGGTACTCAAATGTTCCTCTGGCAGATATTCGCGCGCAAATGTTTGACAACATTTGAAGAATTTTTTCAAAGATTTGGCGACCATAAACAATGGGTCTAACCATTTTTTTTTTTTTTTGTTCTTCACTTCAGATCAGCGCTCACAGCACTAGTGCCGTCTATTCCAACCCGTGGTCACACAGAAGAGCCTATCTCTACCCTCCCCTCCTGCGGTACTTCGCCTTCAATTTTTAATGCGAGAAGAGTTCAGCACTCTCTTCCCTCTGTGTACACACGAACTAGCGCTATCCACTTGGCCAGGAGCGGAAGCGAGAGAAAAACTCACTTTGCAAGAAAAGCTCGCTTACGCCGGGATTCGAACCCCTGACCTGACCTCTAGAAGGTTACGGGGCTACCAACTAGACCACCGGGGCGACCGGTAACCATAATGGTGGTCGAGTAGATCATGTTGTGCGGGGTGGAGAGCCCTCACTCCGCGCAAGGGGGATGATCGCACCATGTTGTGTTAAAATGGTCAAGCATCCTCGAGGCACTTACACAGTGCTTACAACTGTCTCTGGAAGTGAAAGCACCAGAAAATAAATTAAGTCATACGCAGCTCTCATCCGTACGCAAGAAAGTAAGCACAATATGCCGAACACCCTTAGCAGGATGCAGCTCACCCTTCATGCGACTCGCCAAATACCTCACGGCGCTTCGCGCTTGGTGATGTGAGAGCCTGGTCCGGTGAGAACCCGGCGTGCTCCGTCCCGGCTTTGTAGGGATACGAGGTCACTGGTCTAACGACTACGGCATGCACGACTATGAGTACACCCCCCCCCCCCCCCCCCCCCCCCCCCAAAAAAAAAAAAGGTTGTTGTGGAACCATGGGCTTCCTTGTGGCACCTCCC